CAAAACTCAATAATAAGAAAATGAACAACCTAAAACTGGGCAAAATATTTGAGTAGCCACTTCATTAAAGATAACATATGGATGACATGATAAGATGATCAGCATAATTAGTCATTAGGGAAATATAAATCAAAACCACAACAAGATACTACTTTATACTCTCTAGGATGGTTATAATGAAAATGATAATAAGTGCTGGTGAAGATGTGGAGAAACTGGACTTTTATACACTGCTGGTAGAAATTAAAACCACTTAGGAAAATAATTTGACATTTTCTTACATTAAACATACACCTAAAATATGACCCAATCCATTAAACACCTAAATATTTATCTGAAAGAAATGAAAGCCTGAGTCCATACAAAGCCTTGTACATGAATGTTACAGAGGCTCCATTTGTATAGCCAAAACCTGGAACTAACCAAATACCCATTAATAGGTGAATGGATAAACAAACTGTGGTTTATCCATATGATCAAATACTGATCAGCAATAAACTGAATTATTGATATGTGTAAAATAAGGTATGAATCACAAAGTAATTACACTGAATTAAAGAATGCAAAAAAGAATATATAGAATTATTTCATTTATATGAAATTCTTGAGAATGAAAATTAACCTATAGTTGCCTAGGAACAGAGAGGGAACAAATGGATTGGAAACAGACATGAGGAAACATAGGGGTGACAAATATGTTCAGTCTCTTGACTGTGGTAATGGTTTCATAGCTGTATACATGTATCAAAACTTATTGATTTATATATTTTAAACTTGTACAATTTATTGTATGTTAATTATACTTCAGTGAAGTTGTTAAACATTTTTAGCTCCTCAGCTGAACCAGCCACATTTCAAGCACTCATTAGCCACATGTAGTTAGTAGCTATTAAATTAGACATTGTAGATAAAAGACAGTTCTATCATCACAGAAAGTTCTAGGCAACAGTGGTGCTCTGGCCAGAGATCAGCAAACTATATACCAGGGACCCATCACCAGTTCTCTAAATAAAGTTTTATTGAAACACAGCTATGACAATTCACTTACATATTATCTCTGGCTGTTTTAGTGCTACAATGGCAGAGTGGGTAGTTGCAACAGAGAACTTATGGTTTATAAACCTAACTTATCTGTCCCTTTAAGAAGATTTGCTGACTCTGCTCTAAATCATAAATTCTGAATACAAGGACCAGTATCTTTGCTGTACATAACCCAAACAATACTGAGTACCTAATATACAACACTGTCCTAGGAACTGGGGAAGCAGCCTTGAACAATACAGATAAGGTCCCTATTCTCACAGTGAGGAATTCAGGTAACATAACCAGGAAATAAATCAGAAAATGTCAGGCAAGGATGAATGCTAAGATGAAAATAAAGCAGAAAGCATAGAGATATTAAGGGGCAACTTCCACTTAGGTAGTTAGGACAGGCCTCTGGGACAACCTAATGTCTGAATAGTATAAAAGAATCAATACTACAAATACCTGTGGCAGAGCAGAGGGAACAGCAAAACCAAGGACTCAGAATACAAATACATTGATGACCTGATGTTTGGTAAAGAAGGTCCATGTGGCTGGAGAATACAAGGTGGCAAAGGTTCAGATGAGGATGGAGAAACAGAGAGGCCTAAGAGAAATCTGAATTTTATTCTAAATATGATGAAAAGCCACTACAGGTTGTTAAGCAAGTGAGCAACATGATCAATTTATGGTTTTAGTAGCACTCTGGTGCTACTAAATGAAGACTGGATCAGGTAAGAGCAAAAAAGGTGTTAAGGCAAGTTACAGAGTTTTTGCAAAGGTAAAAGTGAAAGATGGTGGTTTGGCTTGGACCATAGTGGCAGCAGTGGAGATGAAGTGGATAAATTCAAAATATGTTTTGAAGTAACATTTGACTGGCCTTTCTGATGGTTGTTGCAGAGCAAGGAAATGAGAAGAGTTGAAATTGAATCCTAGATTTTTGGCTTCAACAATTGGGACACAGTAGTATGAATTACAGATCTATGGGAAATTATAAATAAGAGTTAACAATTATTGAGGGTTTATTATATGTCAGTATTCACTCATCATCACATTTAATTTTCCTAACAATCTTGAGCAGGTAGGTATTATTGTTATTTTCACTTTACAAATAGAAAACTAAAATGTTTAAGTAACTTGTCTAGGTCAGAAAGCTAGTACCAACACAATGGAGACTTGAACCTAGGTCATCAGACTCTAAATTCTACCACACTGTATAAAACTGCCTCAGTGACAGTAGTTTCTGGGAATATGATCTACATTCTAGGCAATGACAGTACCACTAGGTTAACAGACTCTCAGGATGACTAATTTGAAAGATGCTACTTTTCTTTAACTCATATTATTTAAAAACCACCTTATTTTCACAGAGTACAAGATATAATTGTCCTCTACATACTTTTTCTCCAGCATTATCTCTCTCTGATTCCTATTTTTAAAATGAGTAAACTGAAAGAAGTTAAGTGATTTTTTCAAGATCACTGAGATAGTAACAGAGCTAGAACTAAAAGCCAAGTGAACTTATTCCATGCAATGGTCTGGGCAGTGAATCTGCCATTAAAATTTTTGACCATTCAGTAAGAAACACATGTTACATCACTACCCAGAATACACATACCTGTATGAAACAGGAAAAGAAGTTATAAAAAACAGGCTTTACTCTTACTAAGGTACTAATATTTTCTATTTCATTTTTTAAAATGTTGATTGTACCTGGCAATTTAAACACTGACCCAAGCCTTAGTAATTAACATAACAATCACATAAGTAGACTTTATTTTTACAAATGTCTCATGACTCACCAAGACAACTAAACGCCAAAAAGGTGAGATGAAACACAAATAAAGATCAATCTGGTGAGCTTTGGAATACGTGAAGACTGGTTCATAAGAGTACAAATGACGATGCCTCTATGAGCTACACTTTGGAAATATTTTATTTTTACTTTCTATTGCTAATATGGAGGTCTGAAATCAAACAGATACGCCTATTAATGTTTAAAATAAGCACAGATGAACTTTTCCAGGAAAACATATTACAAGCAAAATAAAACAGTTCTTCAACCTCCCCCCATCACAAAGGAAGTCAAAAGCCATAAAGAGACCAGATTGGCAAAATCTCTTCCCTTTAAAGAAAAGAAAAAAAAAAGACTAGATTGGCAATGTAGTAACCCATTATAGTTTATAATGGATAGCATTTTAAGGACAATGGCTTAAGATGCAAAACAGCCTTTCACTTATTGGACAAGTACTACCTTATAAATGTTCAAGCCACTCTAATGCCTTCTCCTTTTGCCGGTATGCTTAAGCTTAATTATCCTCAGTTAAAAAAGAAGAGAACTGTTCAGGAATAGAAATCTTTGATTTCCCCCAATTCCTTAAGTTTACAAGGATAAAAATTGCTTTAAACCCCATGCTGACTTCTGAACATTCACCTTCCCAAAAAGTAGTGTTAACCTGGTAAATTCATGCACACGCACACACGCACAACCCCTTCATCTCTGAAGGGGAAAAGAGACAAGGACAAACCGCAGTCGAATACATCAAAGGCTGAGCAGACACTACAGCTAATACATCAAGTTCACTCCTAGATGGCTCTGCGACACAGTCAAGGTCCTTGGGAGCTCACGCACACTTCTATACTCAGCGCACAGATCTCACCTGTCTTCAACCGACCTCTAGCCAACCCAGGATGATGGTGGGAAGAGTCGTGAAAGGCAGTAAGATCAGGACAATCTGGGAGCCTGCGCAACCCCTTACGGCTCTAATTATATAAACGCAATGCATTAAGATAGTTCTTTAAAAAAGAGTTGGATGATCCCTCTAATCCAATTTGTTTCCACAGAAATTGGAAGGGAACCACCAGGACAGAATAAAAACGTCCAATTATCTGAAAGTCTTGGGGGGAGTGGAGGAGCAAGAGCAGAAATACCCAAGGGCTAGAAAATTCCTCAGAGAGAACGGCAGAGGCCGGCCGCCAGCGGCCACGTGCACTTGCTAAGGAAACCGTTCCAAAGAAACCTGACCTGATCAGAATCAGCACGCCGCACCGCGGCTGCGTTTATCCTAACGGAACGCCACAAGTAGTTGCCCACCTCCCTCACCTCGGCTTTGACAGGGAACGTGTGCGCCGCCCCCACGCCCACAGCTGCACCCAGACCCCTCTCCAGCCCCACCAAGTCCGGAGGGCTAAGGCACAAGGGCAGGGCGAAGGTCCCTGCCTCGGCCCATTCGAACCTATTCTGCAGCCCACCAGCCCCACCCAGCCCGGTTCCAGGCCGAACCAAATCTCCACGGCCCCGCAGTGTCGACCGTTAGAATCCCTAACTTACCTATAGATCTAACCAACATCTCGGAAAACCAGAATCTCTCGATGAGCCCCGCACTGGGCGAAAGAATCTCCCAACCCCTCCCCACTCAACCCAAATCCCGCAGATTCCACATCCAGGTGAGGGCCCTGAGCCCCTGGGCCCGCAGCTCCACCGCCTACCTTCTTCATTGCTGGTGATCGCGTCCCGCTGGACGCCTCCAGCCCTGCTGACCTCGGGGCTGACCCCGTCAAGGGACGGTGAGCTCCCAGGGAACCTTGGGGAGATCCAGGAGACGGCCCCCGGAGGGGCCCGGGAAAGGCGATACCCCAGTCCGGGGCCCCACGCCCGGCTGGGGGCTGGGCTGCTTGCAGACCCCGCGGCGGATGGAGATGAGGGGGACTGCTGGTCCGCTCCGAGAGTGATTACGACTCTAGACGCGAAGGGTACAGGGGTGATTGGGGAGACGGCGGTGCCGCTGCGAGGACCAGTAAGGCGGGAACGTTCTAGAACTAATGCGGTGGGGCCGCGAGCCTCGAGCGTTAAATCCCCACTGCGTCCTGCCCCCGCGTCCTGGTGGTCTGCGCCGAGGTTGCGCGCGGTAAGCTGGGCTGCTCCTGCCTTGGCAGTGGAGCAGCGGCAGGCGCGGGGCCCCTCTCAGCGTCCTCACCTTTTTGGTGCCGGGGCCTCCAGCGATCCGAGACATTCCTGTCAGGGAGGAGGAGCGCCCCGGCTGCCCCCCTAGAGTCTCCTGCTGGGGGGACATCGCTTCCATGAAGAAGACTTTGAAGCAAATCCCAGCCCAGGAGGAGGCTACGCGGTCATAGCCGCAGGATCGGCGGGAGGGGCGAGAACGCGCGGGACCGAGGCAGCCGCGGCGCTCAGGCAGGCAGCCAGGCTTCGGGTGCGGACATCGCGCCTCCCGTCGGGGCCATAAACTGCCGCCAGCGCTAGATCTTGCGGGCTAGAAGCGACTGCAGCAGCACCCGCACGTCCGCGCCCGCTAGCCCGAGCGCCCTGCGGGCAGCCCCGCCTTGCCTCGGTCCCGCCCCCCCGCGCTCCGCGCGCGGCTCTGGGACCGCCCCCGGCCGCCTTCCAGAAACCGGGAACTCCCCGCGGCGGCTCAGCCTGCAGGGCAGCGGCCCGGCATTTTTCTGTATCTGTGTTAGGACGAAGACGACCGACTGACCTTCTCAGGCCGCCACTCCGAGTGGGTCCAGCACAAAGCAGCTCACGGTTCGGTGTCAAGAACCGGGGCCTTTAGTGCACGGACACGCGCCTCTCCAATCGCTCAGCCCACTCACACCCGCCCCATTCCTTCCGCGCTGCGCCTGCGGGGGATGGCGCCGCGGCAGCGCGAGCATCTGGGCAGCTGTGGTGACTTCAGACTGAACGGAGGATTTGCAGGGATTCCTGTCTAGCTTCCAGCGGACTGCAGAGGGGTACCCCCAACCCCGTCCCCAACCCCACCCTGGAGGCCTGGGAATGGAGTTGTACGTTGCAGAATGCCGCGGCTGTACACTTTTGGAAGCCCATAGCTTCGCCTGACCTCTTGTGCAATCCCCAATGTTAGCCTGGTCCCGCGTCACCTTCCTTGGCTTTTGCAGCGCGCCGGTCCCCAGTCCCTGCACAATTTACACCAGCGGTTTCCGGTGTCTGTGCGCGGCAAAGAAGGGGGCATTCCAAACGTGAAAGCGCACTGAAGGAAAATGCAGGCAGAGGGACTGAAATTTGGCTTAGCTATTGAACAGGCTACAATATGTGGAAGTGTTTATCAGCTCCTGTGCCGAGAGCAAAACTTCCTGTCAGCCCAAATAGTGGCAAAATTTTTTAAGGCCAAAGAATAATCAGAGGGAGGGGATTTGGAGCCAACCGGGTTGAGTGTTGCTGTACTTTGCAGGACTGGTTGACTGGTGCGGATGATTCGGTAGGTGGCATTCTTCCTTTGGAGTCAGGCCTACATAAAGGGCAGATAAATGGTGAAGGACACCACTCTATGGTAGTAGGTTGTTGAAGGAGATTTGTTTGTTTTCATGGTATGAAATAAAAAAAAGATCCAGGTTCCTGCTGGGTTTGGCTGTTATCAGGACAGGTAGTAGAAGAATAGGGCTCTGGCAGGCTCTGTTCCAAGCAGGAGATTTGTCCAAAGCACACACACCCACATACTACCACCACCTCTAAACCCTAGAATTGTTTATTGTGGAAGTAAGGGGCAGAATATGTTCCAGTCCATTTTAAGCCTTGTCCACTTCACATTGTTTAAAATAGACTTACACAGTCTTCATAAACCTTGCATGAATATTATATATAATTATATAAATCATGCTAATATAGAAATTATATATATGTATAAATAGTTTATCAGGGTAACCCTCTTTTCGCTGCTTAGACCCATGTGCAGTGACAGAACTTTGGACACCCCCCCCCCCATAGAGTTTATCATGAATTTTACACTGCAGAGGGTTTTGCAGTTTCTTCCATTTCTTGAAGTCATCCTCTTATGATTCCTATCTTGAATGAAAATCCCACTTTTTTTACTCTCCTAGATTTTTTATATCGATAATACCATGTCCTTTTAATATCTTATGTAATTGTTTTTTAAAGTATTTTATTGATTATGCTATTACAGTTTCCCCCCTTTACCCCCCCTTCAACCTGCACCTCCAACCCTCCAGCATCCCTCTTTTATTTATGTCCATGAGTTGTACATATAAGTTCTTTGAGTCCTGTTTCCTATACCATTTTTTATCTCTCTCCGTATATTGTATGCCTACTAATTGTGCTTCTTCTTCCCTGTACCTTTCCCCCCAGTCCTCCTTTCCTCCTCCCCACTGAAATCCCTCCATGTGATATCTATTTCTCTGATTCTGTTCCTGTTCTAGTTGTTTGCTTTGTTTTTGTTTTCTTTGTTTTTCTTTTCATGTATGTTCATTTGTCGATAGTTGTGAGTTTTGTTGTCATTTTATTGTTCATATTTTTTATCTTCTTTTTCTTAGATAAGTCCCTTTAACATTTCATATAATAAGGGCTTGGCAATGATGAACTCCTTTAACTTGACCTTATCTGGGAAGTACTTTATCTGCCCTTCCATTCTAAATGAAAGCTTTGCTGCATAGAGTAATCTTGGGTGTAGGTTCTTGCCTTTCATGACTTCAATACTTCTTTCCAGCCCCTTCTTGTCTGCAAGTTTTCTTTGGAGAAATCAGCTGATATAGGAACTCTTGTTGGTAACTCTCTCCTTTTCTCTTGCTGCTTTTAAGATTCTCTACTTATCTTTAATCTTTGGTAGCTTAATGATGATGTGCCTTCGTGTGTTCTTCTTTGGGTCCAACTTCTTTGGGACTCTATGGGCTTCCTGGAAGTTTATTTCTTTCACCAGATTGGGGAAGTTTTCCTTCATTATTTGTTCAAATAATTTTCAATTCTTCCTGTTGTTGTTCTCCTTCTGGCATCTCTATAATTCAGATATTGGAATGTTTCAGGTTGTCCCAGAGGTTTGTAAGACTCTTTTTACTTTTTTGAATTCTTATTTCTTCATTCTGTTCTGGTTGGATGTTTATTTTTTCCTCATGTTCCAAATCATTGCTTTGAGTCCTGGTTTCCTTCCTGTCACTGTTGGTTCCCTGAATATTTTGTTTTATTTCATTTTGGGTATCTTTCATTTTTTTTTTCATTTTTCAAGCAATCTCAGTTCTGTGAGCATTTTGATTACCAGAGCTTTAAATTCTCCATCATATAGGTTGGCTATCTCCTCATTGCTTAGTCCTCTTTCTGAAGTTTTGCTCTGTTCTTTCATTTGGGTCATATTTCTTTGTCTTGGTGCACCTGTTAAGTTGTAAGGGGGCCAGGCCTTAGGTATTCACCAGGGCAGGGCAACTCTCCTTGCAGCCCTGCCAGCACTGCCTGGGGGGTGGGGGGCAGAGAGGGAACAATGAAGCTGGACTGCTTGTCTCCAGCCCACTTTCCTCCCGACTCTCTCAGTGTGAGACTTAGAGTTTCTCCCACCTTGGCAACTCCTGCTGTAGTCCACAGTCAGCTCTGAGTCTCAGTTTTGCCTTCAGCCAGCCCCACCCTCCCAGTCCATGCCTTGGCCTCACTGCGGGTTCTTACCCATCTGGTTGTTCTGGTTGATTTTTTCTTTAAATCCTTGGTTGTTGGAGTTTCATGCAGTTTGATTTTCTGGCGCTTCTGGTTGTTTATTGATTTTAGATGGGTTGTTATCCTCCTTTTGGTTGTGTGAGAAATCAAAGGGTTCTACCTACACCTCCATTTTGGCCAGAATTCTAATTTACTTGTGAATGTTTATGAACCATCTCTATTCCAAAGGGTAGGAATCTTTTATTTGTTTTTGTTGTTGTTCATTGTTGCATCCCAAATGCCCAGAGCAGGGCCTGGCACAATAAATGTTTATTGGTTAAATGAATGAATGACACACACACACAAAAACACAGAAAAAAGATAGATACAGAAAAATGAGATCGATACAGAAGGGCCAAGCTAGAGTGGTTATTTCATTCATAGAGTCCCATGTATTATCAGGCTTTTTTTTTTTTGCAATAAGTACTTCATGCTCCAAATGGAAGTATTATTTATACTACATATATGGAAAATTCATTTTCCACTTCTTAATTTGTAAGTGTTTTTATTTCAAACTTCATTAGGTTTGGTTGGCATAGAAAACAGTCCTACCAATCTCTGATAAGGAGTTTTGCAGAAGGTCTTACTTCCTAAAGAAAATTGAGTTGGCTTAGATTAATATTATCACCAGAATAATGTTTTAAAAACATAGATCTGATCCCATCACTCACCTCCTTAAAACCTTCTTTGCCATCTTGTGTCTATGGAACAAAGTTCAAATGCCATAGTATGATATTCAATGTCTACAATCTGACACCTTCACCCCCTCTTCTTTCTCTTATAATCTCTTGCCTCTCTTCAAGTCTCACACTATTCTCTGCCTCAGTGAGCTATATGCACTTGCAAGAACTTGCCTTGACCTCTCATATCTTTATCACTTTGAGCTTGCTCTGCCCATAGCCTAGTAAGTTTTTCTTCTGTATTTTCCAACCTCTACTGTTTTACACTTATTTATGTAGTGCATGGTCCATAGTAAATATCCAGTAGATATTTGTTGAGGAAATATATCTTCAAGACTTACATCAATAGTTACTTCCTGTCTTTATTTCTCTTTACCTAGCTACATCCACATTCCAACAATACATACAGGGTTAAGTATACCTTCAGTAATAGTAACAGATAACATTTATTGAGTACTTACTTCATACTAAACACTGTTCTAAGCATTTTTCACATATTAATTCACTTAAATTTTCATATTAACCCTACCAGGTAATATTCCCTTACACCTCACTTTACAGATAGGAAAGCCAACCGCATGTTAAGTAACTTGCTCAAACAGCTGTTAAGTAGTGAGGCCAAGGTTGGAACCTAGGGAGTGCCCTTAATCACTTGGCTATACTGCCTTTCCTGGGTATATTTCCTCTGTAGTACGTATTATACTATACTGTTATTATCTGTTTTATTTGCTGTAAGCTCCTTGAAATTAAACATTCTATTTTACTGGTCTTTACTTCTTTCTGCCAGGCACACAAGTATGCTCTCAATGATTTTTTTCAATGACTTATCTTTGAAAGAATGAATCAAGTACTAGAAACAACCATCTCCATTATGCTCTCTGGTTTGAGGAAGATCCTCTGATGGGGAAAAAACAATCCTGGACTAGTCCTACTATTCTTTAGACAGTGACATCATTTTCTCTGCATTAGGAATGTTATGTTGTAGAAAAGCATGATGCCATAAAATAGAAGTTATGACAGGGCAGCTGAAGGAGTGGTAACCATGTCTGACATATAAGCAGAATGCATCCAGAATATTTTGAAGCAAACTGTAAAGCAAAATAATAAGAAAAGCAGCATTTAATAGCTTGGAAAAACCAGCAGCAGACATTTAACAGGAACCAACCTAAG